GTAGTACTGACACTTTGTTTCCAAGAAAAGCGTAGATTTTGTGAGCGGTACTTTATTACCACTTGCAAAAACGTCTCAATAAAATCCGCCAACGAGTATGTTTAGAACAACAATGATAAATGTTATCCCATAAGAACCTCTGATCGATGGTATCGAGATACTTAGCCAGGAAATGAGTAAAAAAAACCAATGAGGTAAGCTCTGCGTACCAAATGTTTCCCATGAATTTACGACAGGGCTATTAATTACGAGAAGAATACGTGAAACACGGAAAAGAAAAACGCGACAAGTGTCTTTTGACCTTAAAATCTTTTAGAATGTTTGGAGGTACCGTTTCCGTTGAGAAGGGTTACGACAAGTCACATACCTTATCCGCCTCCTTTGCCACCTCAATAGCGCATGCTGTCTCCGCAGAGCCGCCGCCGTACACGATGCGATCATCTCGGACCAAATTGCGGATTACGCAGAGCGCATCATGAATCGAACGCTTGGCTTCGTCAATAATCTACAAAGACCAAGCTCCACTAACGGCAGAGTAAAGGTGAAAGTCTATGCTGAACTATTGTAAGCTGACCATTTTGTTGCCTCCACGGAACAAATATGGTGACTGCCCTACTATTCGGGCACTGCTCAATGGACAGCATGCGGTCGCGTGCAGTTCCGAATGTAACCTCACGTACAAGACCAGCAGAGCCCAGTTTTGCGGGAGCAAGTTCCGAGAACCTAATAGTCTCAAAATTAGGTGAGTAGCCGTAGGCTAAACTAAAACAACTCATTACCTCGGTACAATTCTGGCATTCGTAGCAATAGCCAAAAGCTCAATTTCCGGTCCTCCCACCCAACGAACAGCCGGAAGTTGATGGTGATGCAGGAGATGGTTCGCCTCGTCGTCGAAGCCCCACTGGCAAATTGCCAACGTTGCACCACTATCTTTGACCTGAATAGAAGAGAAAATTTTACTGAAACACAATCGAAACCAAATGATGTCTAAAGGATCCGCTTAATGAAAAAGCGACTACAGAAACCAGAGGAAACCAGTTTAACACTGTGACGTTATCACAGTGATTAGTGGTAACCGAGAGCGGTAAATGAACTGGTGACAGTAAAACTGACCGCTCACATCAAACAATAGTCGAATTGATGCGATATGATTTTCTCAAAAAGTCGAAGTTCCAGATATTGCCTATTTAAAACCTGATGGCCGGCGTCGTCAACCTTCTTCGAACAAAGACCTCTGAGGTCTTTGTCTAAGAAAGGCTCGAGGGTGAGGTTCCTTCTTTTAGATCTTCGAAATTCAAAAAAGGCCAATTTTCGGTTATTAGGGGGTGTGAGCTTGGAAACGAAGAAGACAGCTGATATCTCCTACACTTCGTAGGTGCGATACGACCGTAGTAACAAACGAAGAATAATGGGGTAAGAAGGAACGAGGTATAAAAACCACTGCAAAAAGTTGCAATGAAAAGTGCCTTAACCCTTCTATGGTAAATTTACCCAAACCTAAATTTACCCCTCTACAAAGTACGGTAGCGCTACTAGCACAAACTCAGCAACGCAAAGTGTAATTTGATGAATAATTGTCAATTATCCCTATATCTCGCGACAACAATTACAAAATTAATTACTGTTCTGCAGTGAAATAATGATAACTTACATCGGAATTCGGACAATTATCCATTCATAATAGATCCAAAAGAACAAATAACAAAATAAGTGAGTGACAAGATCTCAAAGAACACAGTCTAGGAAAAAGATTTGTTGGATTAATAAGCTCACACCCCCTAATAACCGAAAAGACTAAAATTGCTCAGTGATCACGAAAAGGAACCAATATTGGAACAATGCAAATAACCTTACCTGCTTGATCATCTTCTCGAAGGTTTCCTTTTCATACTCACGCAGCGCTTTGAAATCTTCAGATGAAGTAATATCGAGCTTATGCTTGGTTTTCGGCTTGGGTGGCTCAAATGGGCAGGTGAGAATAGCGACCTAAAATTCGACGCGGTTCAAATCAATATGGGAATGATCAGCGACGAATAACAATGAACTACGAATAGATTCAGCCCCACAATGAGAATCAAAACACGAGAAACATGTGACAAAACGATTGAAAAGCATTGTTAGCTATTTTGACATTCCCTATAGCCGCGACTATTTAACACAATTAAACGATCTGTCATCAATCAGTGAATCACTGCCATCCTTTGAAACACCCTGTCCTTTTTCGAACATACCTTCACGTCCCTCAATTCTTTCGGCATTTGGGGATGCGACATTGTTTTGTCGATAACGATGCCTTTTACAAGTACCGTGTCTTCGAGGTGGCCACCAACCTATAATCGATCATCTTCGTTGAATAAGTTTGTTTCGTAAACTCGTCATGAAATAAGGTGGCAAAATTTGGGAGATTTAGGTGGAAATTCATCGCTACGTAGATTTCAACCTCAATCTTCTCCGAATGCTGATGTTTCATTTCATTATCTCCCTTCTGTTTCTCTCTTAAATTATCACCCCAACTACCACTTCCACTTCCCGGGAATATTATTTTTAACTCTCTTGTCCTGTTAGCCACTACAAGTTTATAAAATCAACACTTGTAAATCTGCCCAAGGCTGGTGTCAGAGTTCGCGATCCAACGCGCGATTCGCGCGAATTGCGCGACGAATCACAGAAATCACAAGTGCCCCGATCAATACTGCGAGGTGCTCTCCAATCCCGCCGCCATTTCTGCTTGATGGTGATGGTTGACGACTGTTCATGATTCTACTTGTTTCATATTCAGTGTTTCAATGTTCAAATGGGGCACTTGCGATTTTGCGATTCGCGCGAATCTCGCGACGGATCGCAGACTCTGACACGAGCCCAAATCAAATGCCACTTCAGTCCCACAGACCCCTTGGTGTGCTGGCCTAGATGGTCGCTTGGAGCAATGCTTCAGGTTTCCCAGAAGTCATAAAAACGATAATTGATGGCTACAATATCCTTCAGTAGATTGTTAGTGGCGTAAACAAGAAAGCAATGAACCTCTTATAATTTGCAAGATCGTTAAGAATTATTAAATGAGAACCGGAGCGATAAACTACGCTCATAAACACACAACCCTTGCACGCAAAATGCATGCCGTCCATTAAGTCCAATGCAAGAAGGACTAATATCTCCCTAAACAGCACGAGCTACTTACAGTACTTGAAGCAGCTGAAAGTGGAAATCACCCGTACCCAAGTAAGGTAACACAACAGAACCCTCAGCTCTTTTTTCTGCTTTTGAAATAGATTAGAGGTGTCAAATAGTACTTTTTTCGGCGCTATCGCACTACAAGGGGGCATCTTCAAGGACTAGGCCTAGGAGGGGGCAAAGCTAAGGGGAAAATGGAAATGGCTCACGCACCTTGGAGTCTCTCCTCCCCCGCCTGAGGCTTAGTCCCATTTTAACAAAAAAAAGCCATGTTTTACGCGGTTTCAAATGCATTGCCATCACAATGCCCCCGTATATTGCGATAGCGCCCTTTTTCCAACCTCACATTTCTGTCACGCATCCTTCAGAAACCCACTAACTGACGCATAGTATGAGGATCAGCTTATTTGATCAAAGGCCATGTGTGGCGATTAACAAGCCCTTGCTCTTGTGAATGCACCTAGCCGACTTCTTCCCACGGTCTCCAAGGCAACAGCTCTTCTAAGCCGACAAATGTTCACCTCGTTCATCAAGTGAATCATCTCAATGGCAACCGTGTTTTCAAAAAAGTCTACGGCAATATAGCGCAGAAATATGCGCTGATTGGCAATGGGAGCCTGTAACCTCATAAATATAGCCGAGCAATCGACATACCTTTCCCTCCACTTTGATAAGCTCAAAGTTCACATCACGAGTTTCTAGATCGGCCACTGATAGCACTGCGTCCACGGCGATCTCGGCGAACTTCCGAATGCATCTGTTCACCCTGTAAATATGTCAATACGTTGAACGAGAACATCGCTACCAATCACTTTCACTTACACTTTACTTCCCAACGACGTCTGCGCCGTTTCAACAAGACGTTCACGATCGGCGACCGGGAACTTGTCAGCGATTTTGTCAAGTGTTTCAAGTGCCTGAAATCGAGGGGAGAATTGCATGCAAATTTCTCAATTTCAGAAAATCCCTTTAATATCTGCGGGTTCCCACAGCTGCCTCAAGAATCGATATCACGCACAAAGTACAACACGTGCATTCCACTAATGTCGTCAACAAGACGGGCATTATTACGATGCCTACGGGGCTGGTCATCCAAGAACGATGTTCACACTTAAGAAGATGGAAAATCAATAAGTCACCTTTTTGCATGCGAGATCGAATCCATCGGCGATTTTGATCGGATGAATTCCACGGTCAATTAGACGCTCGGCTTCTTCGAGAAGAGCTCCAGCAAGGACTGCAATAAAAACGACCGATTGAAAAAAGTCGAAATCAGTCGCGCGAGAGAGAGAAGTGTGTTTACGATGTGGAGAACGGGAACACTGCGTCGAACAATCTGATAACACTAATCAATAAAAAAAGTGTGGACAGCAACTTCCTTCAGATAAAGCGAGTAATCGTGCACTCATAGGCCATAAGTTTTCCAGTCACGTATTGCACGCGGCATTCATTTGTGTTCAGAATTACAAGTAAATAAATGCGCTTAACTAAGTTTAGTCTCAACAAAGTCACAAGACGAATAGTTAATGAAGAATTCAGCTGTTGAGGCGTGAAGACGACGGCAACAACATGGGGGGACACATAGAGAAAACATGCGATGCGCAGCTGGTCTAGCAAATTCCAACGAACGTCGATGACAAAATATAGAGGAACGGCCAAATATCACCGTCTGACGCCGCCGTCTAAGCTCTATGGCTCTATATCAAAGAGACCATCTCTTCACAAATCTACTGATACTAGTGATTCCGCATATAACGATGCATCAAATCAAGACGTATACGGCTTAGCTGGTGGGATAAGCTCGTCAACGGCGGAAAATCTGCCGATTGGCGATGATTGAAAGTGGTTTAGCGCACTACACGACACACGCGACATATGAGCGTTTCACGCTAATTTCACAGCGATGAAAAATCAACAAAACTGCTACGTAGGGAGGACCAGGGGACCAGAAAATCCTTCACATTTGGAATGTTGGTAGCCAGCAAAATGCCAGCTTTTATGTGCAAACGACATGAAATAACAGTTGCATGGCATACTTCATTAGACTGGTGCAATGAAAGGAAAAGAACAGCAATCAGTCTCAGTGGCCTGGAAGCTCTGTCACGTCTTCTCCTTTTCCCTCGGATTAACACTCTCTTCACAATTCGAATCCCTACAGAATGCACTATTAAAATGCCGACAGATAACGTGCCATTCAGCGAATGCCGTGTTTGCTTTAAAACGAAATTCATATCGAAAGGGGCACAGACGGCAAACACCCGGCAGGAAATTAAACCAACCCTATTAGCCCAGTTTTCTCGCATAATATCCGGCACTCATTCGATTTTCGCTCTATCCAAAAAACTTTTGAGACCTTTGTTTTAGGCCAGGCACCACCCCCATTTTAGCATTGCTCTCAGGAAACAGAGATTCTAAGAAAACTGCATTAGGATAGATTGCATTGTGGCCAATATAGCTAACAGCATGCTTTGCTAAAAGTGCAACACTGCAGTCCAAACGAGCGTTTCCATTACCGCTATGCGAAGGCCGCCAATAAGCGAGCAGCACCGCACAGAAAAACGGCCTCGTAAACGGAAACCGCTGCACATGGCCTGCTCGGATCGATCAGAATCACGTGTACTGGGCAGGCAAGGCAATGCTGAAAAGGCACTGCTGGAAAGGCGCTGTGCCAAGACTCAACGGAATGGGTGCTGCGGTGCTTAGGTATTTCAAGCGGTGCGAAGGTGGCAAGTACGGCACCGCGTAGACGATCACATGACGTGATTTGACGGTACACAGCAACTCGAACCATTCATTAACTGATGTTACAATGTGAAGATGTGCAACCACACGGGACACGACGTACTGCAAAAAGCGACGACGCAAAGACACAGCGCTGGCACGGAATCGATAGCACTGGCCAACGAAATATCTCACCTACGCCGCCGTCAACCCCAGTAACTGCCTGCTGGCCGTCAGTGTTAACGAGCCAGCCGTAGGTAACATGAAAATACTGCCGAACACCTGCGAATTTCATTTCAATCTAGGACTCAACGTCCTCTTTATGAAATGATGCAGACCGAATCAATAAAACTTAGCATGGATCCCAACCTTTTTGAGCATCAGGTTAGCAGTTTTTTTATAAATCAATATAATTCTCTATATAGATTTTGGATGGCATCATTACATTGGATAGCATCCTAATGAAGGTATAAAAATGCTATGTAGACACAGCTACATATAATAAATGACGGAATGTAGGAGCCTTAAACAAACTATGCTATAGCTGATACAAAACGTGCATCACTTTCGTGCTTTTTTCTGCTGAAATCATGCGAAAACGCCAAAAACAAAAGAACTCATTATTGATGCATATAGCTGATTCATAAGGCGAAAGCATTGCCAAAAACAGCCAAAGCTCTATGGAAGGGCGGAACCTAGCCGGCTGGAGGAGACGAGACGAATAGTCACTGAGATGGTCTCTCGGACAAGTCATCAGAAAGGAAAGAGCTGTGCGATCCAAGAAACTTAAAGGCACGGGTCGGGATCGAACTGGTGTGTTATTTTGTTGGGAAACTAGAAAAAAAGCGGGAAGAGAAGGTGGGTGGGAGGAAAATCAAAAAGCACCGTAGAAAACAGTGAAATTTCCCTTGTGAGGTCGGCTATGACAAAGAGGCAAAGCGCTTCGAGACTCAAAACGTCAGGGAGCACGTCGTACGCGAGAGGCTGCAAACGCTATGCATGGCGCGATTGATAATGGCAACGCCGGCAGCGTGCAAGGCGAGGCTTGAGCGCCCTTTCCGCGCACTTTTGAGTCGTGGAAGTGTCGCGGCTCCCGGGCTGGGAGACTCCTCTTTCTCACTCTACGAGAAGATATAACCTTTTAGCACATGAATCCGACTCGCGGTTTTAACATAGCACGGAATCATCATCCAATAGATCAATCAAAAGCAGGCAAAGCCATACCTCTGAATGAGCCATACCTCTACGCAATATGTGAATTTTTCACCAAAGAGATGTGAAAATGGAGCTAAGGATCAATAGGAGAGATATGTTCGAAGTATCACTCCAGCACACCACTATGGTGACTTTCCGCACACACTGTGAGGAAGGATTTTACAAACAAGTAAGAACGAGCTGTGGGAGCAGAGAAGTCGTTTTAGAGCCTTAAAATCCCTACGCGAAGTTAAGAACTCATCGCAGTGAATTTCAACCTAAGCTCCGCTCAAGGGTCTCCTATGCATCCCTGGAGTGAAATGTACGTAACTCGAACAGCAGCGCATAATCGAAAAAGGCCAGCCCAAACAAACATGAAACAAGAAAGTTCTGTCCACCAAACTCTGTCAAAAACCATAACAAAAAACCAAAAGCTTGAAAAAGACAAACTAAAAAATTGAAAAAAAAACTATATACGTATGCTAATTGTTAACGTGGCAAATTATCACACGAAAAGATTACTGACATAAAAAACCCCGTCTTAATAGCGAGATCTTCGCAACATTCATTGCACGCCAAGATTAAGGCCACGTCATTAGAGGCAGAACCTTCAGTTAATGACTTTGCCAGGCAATTAAAACACCCTCATTGGATTTTAACGACCACACTGCAAAAAGAGGCAGTGGAATTTCCCAGCAAATTTTCAGAGTAATTTCAAAAATGGAATGAGCAAAAATCCTAATACTCATAGGAAACTGCGCACGTTTTTTGTTATGTTTGGCATTTTTATAGGCAAAGCGCTTTTAGTGGCACTCAGAGAGTAAGAGCGGGCAACGCATCAGTGATCAGCACCGTCAAATGGCACGCCATTTTCTCTGATTCGTGGAACACCGTCAGCCTATACTGAATCTAGAAGCAGGCAGTGCTTCAATCTGCACCTAATACCCATCGATCACAACGCGGGCCGCCATCGATTAGATGCTAATATCAATAAAAGAAGTGAAAAGAAAAGAAGCAATAGTACATAAATAGTTTTAAATAATTGCATTATGGCGTCCGACAATAAACACACTCCCAAAACTAACATATGGACACTGACTTTCCAACGCATCTGCCCTCACGCCGATCGCAAAAAAAAATTAGAAAATATTCATAAAAAAGATGATGATCAAGCATTCGGCAATAATCGACCCATTTTGGAATACACATTCCGCTTTCTATTCAGAGACGTGAGCACCGATGGTGCAGACTTGCGAATCGAGCAATTCAGCGTTTGTGGTACCACCAACCGTGCGATTCGCTGGCGCGACGCGACGCGGACGCCTTAGCGAATCGCTCGATTCGCAAAGTCTGACATCGGCCTAAGGAAAATTTCAATGCGATCTGGGCTATACATTAACCTGCCACGAACACTCGAAGTAAAAATCGGTGTTTTCGACCTTCCAGACAAATTGGCCACCTTAACCTGAAGCAGAAGGGCGGAAGTGGTGTAGTGACAAGTGGCGCGCTCACCACGCGAGCGGTCCGGGATCAAATCCTGGGTCGTGAGTCGCCCGGGCCAACCAAGCCTTCCATCCCTCCGGGGTCGGTTAATTGGTACCAGACTTGTCTGGGAGGATAAAAACACTGACTTGTACATCGGCTGGCCCCCGCAAGTCATTGTATAGGCCACATCGCATTCAAACGCCACTACGAATGTACAAATGGAAGTAGAATGCGTGCCGCATCCCAAAAAGGGATTGATCAACGGCAAATGCTTTATCCTTTATTTTTTTCCAGTGAAGGCTTAATAACTTCGTATAGATGTCGATACGAAGTTATTACGCAAAGTAACAAGGGCGAGCGGATTTATTTAAAAAAATAAAAAAATCGGATGCTTGAACCTCACACAGCTTAAGGCGTCAAATTCACAATACTATTTTCAGGAAACAACAAGAAATCAAGAACGATCAAAATCCTTGTTGCGCCACACCATCGTCAAAGGATTGATGGGATTTCACTGGCCGAAGAGCTGCCTATTTTAAGAACACTGCATCGTAGCCATGGCTTCACTAATATCCCTGTGCACTTTGGGGCGAAATGCACGTCAAAGAAGCTCGCGCCCAATTTTATCGCCACCATTAACTAGGCTTCATTGGCAGTCACTGCCAAAAATCATGCGGTGCACGACGAACACTACCTAAAAATGCACATATGCCAGACGCCACTCTCGTCTCCTCACCTCCCTACGTTCGTGCAGTTTTACTTTCGAATTCTCAGATACCCCCCCCCCCCACCTTCAGGGCAAATCAAAAGCCAATATTAGCACATTTCTACCATTGCATACTTGTTCATTCTGCACCAATATTAGCCTATACAATCCCTAACAGCAATGAAAAAGCAGAAATCCATCCATTTCATAATTTTGCACCAATAAATCTACAGCAGTAGGCAGGATTTTTTCCAATAGAACAGAAATCAAAATTAAACAGCTAGCAAAGCACACGCACAAAAGCACACAAGCGAATTGTTCCATTGCAATAGAACGTTTTGTAGGGAAGAATAGCGGGACTGATGGATGCAATGACCACAGAATATCATCAGTAGCGAAGCGCATGCTAATCTACGACCGAGGGGCACAAACCGAGTAACCCTCTCGACAACCGCAATCGATACAAAGAGGGCCTAGAACAAAAAAAGAAGCATGTCTGCACCACACACAGACACAGCCACACGCACACAGCACACACGTCTATTTGAAAACAGCAGCAGACAACAAGAGCGTGTGAAACTCGTGTAACCGTTGAACAAAGACCTCAACAATATCGAGTAATATTAAGGGAGCAGTTCTTAGGAGGAAAAAGAGAAGCCTTTTTCAGGATGACAAAAGGAAAAAACTGGATGGACAGGAGCCACGTTCAGGGGGTGGAATTCACAGTGATTTCACAAGAGTAGAAAGTGTTGATAGAAAAAAGCCCCGCAAAAAGAGCCAAATTCACACCACCTCGCTTAGCCATGCGTCGGAGCGCGTCGGAGTAAATGCCGAACAGAATGTGTTAGACACGGACACAGGAACAGAGGGTTCTTATCAATGACGTAACAGCGATTATCGCTAGCAATCGCCTTATGAGTGTGGTTCGCTTGCTATTCACGTGACAACTTTGCCTTAATTTCCATCGATAATGCGTCGGATGTCATAGCGGCCGCTGTGAAAACGTGCCGGTTGTGAATACCGTGAAGCTATTTTCGGGGGAACAAATATAAAATCCATTGCATTTTTTATGAGAAATTACGCAAGCAATGGCAGAAATAACGGTCTTCAAAATCACCAAACGTTGCGAGCAATGACGTAAAACAAACAGTTGCGACAATGGAAAGTTAACAGCGGACAGGAGAGAGAGAGATCCCATTGAGCAAAGAAATATCGCAGGTGCCAATTCTGAAGTGTGAGTAATGGAAAGTTGTCGGAAACACGAACTAGAAGAGGGGTTTCTGGTGGAACATTTCTGGCCAAAACGGCTAGAATGGAAAGATAAAATGGGCACGAGGGACTGCGAACCACAGAAACAGCAAAAGGAAAGGCCATAAATACTGGTAAGTAGGAATATCCGAAACCAAAAAGCCATACCCATGCTTGGGAACGTTTTTGTCAGGCTACTTAGCAACGACCCCTAAGTTGTTTCATATCTTGCTTTCGTTGCTTCTCGACTTTTACCTATTCAACACCACTGTCAATGAAGGCCAAGTTCAGAACTTCTGGTCAACTCCTCCCCCGAGAAGTATGCAGTGGTACACAAGCGGGGAGCATGTACACAATGCCAGGATGTGATAAGCGAAAGTGCTAAGCACGCTAGCGATGCACACTGGCTCCTACATTCATCTTAAGGCTGCTTTCATAGTCTGCGGTCCGTGCCGTCCGCGCCGTCCGTGCGGACGGCTCGGACAGGGTGAAAAACGTCAACACGCGCTCCGGCGCACAATGCGCACTTGGCGCGCAGTCGGCGCCTCCCTCGATCGATAATGCTGATTTCGACACATTTTTTCTGTATTTTGACGTTTTGTGCGCCGTTTTGCTTTTTCTTGCGGTTGCTTAGCCCAAAACTTTTCCTTTTTTGTATGGAT